GTTGATATGTTCGTCACTTAGGATGCTTGATGCTATTACGAGTTTACCTTAGTCGATAAACGCGAACGATACTTTTACCAGCTTCCAGGAAGGCTACCTTGAATCCAACGGTAAAACAGAAGTCTTGGTAAGAGTAGAAAGTATATTCTACAAGCACCCAGCAATCCAGTACAATCAAGCATACAACTCTCGTTTATTTATACAACATAACAACGTCCTTGAGACAGTTAAGAAAATAGCATACTAAAATACACTGTAGCCAATCACAGCCATTGATTTTCCTGGTGGGGATTGAAATCTCAAGGTCATTTGATCAGCCCCTGCTGGCGAGACGTGAAAACCAAAATACGGCATTATCAAGCGAATTTTTGGGGATCTAACATCCCCAACACTCCTCCCCTTTTTAATAGCTTGTTCTCCTGGGGTCGACTTGCATCTTGACTATTGTTCGCCGCTGTCTGAGGGGATACCTTCGGGAACGAAGAACAGCTTGCTGCTGAGTTTCTTCTCGTGGCGGGGCTCTCGGTAGGTTGAAGGTATCAAGCAAGATGTCAAGGGGAAGGCTTTCTGCTCTTGATGGGCGATCTGGGGCTAGCCGTCTGCGTATCTGATTGCGATGACGTGACCATTTATCACCTCCTACCTCTACTTCGTACATAACTCGACCAACCCTTCTGACCACTCTCGCTTCTACCCAAGGACCATGGTTCGTTCTGTAGTCGCGGGCAAACACAGGGCATCCTACTTCGTAAGCGGATTGTCTTTGCTGCTTTGTCTTTACTGATGAGGGTGCATTAGTCGGATGCATCAGGCTGTGAATCGTTTTCAATCTTCTTCCCATCAGGATTTCAGCTGGGGACTTTTGCTCCGGTAACAATTCATTTGGTGTTGTCCGATAGACGTACAAGAAATTTTGTAACGTTTCGGCTGGCGTCCCCTCCCCTTTTGACTTAAGCAGTGCTCTTTTAAACGTATCCACAAACCTTTCCGCCTGCCCATTCGATTGCGGGTGGTATGGTGGCGAGCGTAAGTGTTTAATAGCTAGCCGTTGACAGAAATTCTGGAATTGGGAAGAGGTGAATTGAGAGCCATTGTCGGATACGATCACATCTGGTATGCCGTTTCGTGAGAAAATTTCAGTTAGGAGCTGTATAGTCTTAGTTGTAGTGGGCGGCATAACGGGGCTGATTTCCGGCCATTTAGAAAAGGCGTCGACGACAATTAAATACATAGTTCCATTTATTGGGCCAGCGAAGTCGACATGTATCCTGGACCAAGGATGCTCAGGTTTGGGCCATGAAACCGGCGGAATTTTGGCATTCATCTTTGCCGCCTGCTGACACCGGATGCATTTTTCAACCAACGCTGTGACATGTTGATCCATGTGAGGCCAGTATGCATAACTCCTGGCTATGGACTTCATTCGTTTAATCCCAGGATGACCAAGATGGAACTGTCTCAGCACTTTTGCACGAAGGGATGCTGGCACCACTACTCTTTCACCAAACATAAGACAATCGTTCACGATGCATAGTGAATCCCGCCGCTGATACAGTTGCTTGATGTCACCTTCAAACTTTTTCGACGGCCAACCTTTAGTGACATATTTCATCGTCATCTTGATGATGGGGTCGTTTCTAGAAGCATTTTGTATGTCTGTTGCAGACACCGGTAATGCGCGAACTGCGGTTGTCAGATAACATTCTGCGTGGTTCTTCGTATGCGCTTCTGGGTCATGTCGTTGTGATACCAGGCTGCATATGGTATTTAGCGGGACATCAGCCAATTTTAGCTGGTCGAACCAATCTAAACCAAGTAAATTTAGATCAGCTGGCGTTATATAGCATACCCCAGTAAACGACGAATCCCGGAAAGCAACTTTACATTCCAATTGTCCTAACAGACGAAGATAATTACCACATGCTGTGCGAGGCTTTTGTGTTGTGTGCTGCAGGCTTGGGCTGCCCAACTTGGTCCAATTTTTGCGTGAGAGGATAGTGACATCAGATGCAGTATCTATTTGCATTCTACACAAATAACCGTTAATATTAAGAGTAATAAATCTCCTCTCACCTGGTGATGAACTTTGGCAGGAAGATATTAGGCTCAATGCATTGGTACTGGATCTAGGAACAGGCTTCTTAGCACTTCTGGATCGCTTTGGCTTTTTCTGTAGGCAAAAGCCATCTTTATGACCGATGACTTTACACTTCCTGCATCTATGCTGCCTAAATGGGCAGTTCCGTACATAGTGCCATGAACCGCAGTGCCAGCAAGCAGAAGGTGGATTCATTTTGGGTTTTTGGGCCGAATTGGAGCGGGGTGAACTGGGTGTAGCATGGGCAGACTTATAATGATTAGGTGGCTGCTGTACCAAATGAATTTCAGATCGGCTTGAACTACCATTCTGAACTATAGTCGAGTCTCGTTGTAGGTTTGTGAGACGTTGGTACTCATGAGCCATATCATTAAGCGTAAGCTTTGGATCTTGCTCCAACCGACTTAGTAGCCTTGTTCTAATGTCACTGAACTTACTCGACTGGAGGCTGCAGATGAGAATGAGGGCTTTGAACTGGTCTTCCGACAAAGACTTCAACCGAAAGCGTTCGCATTCACGGTTGACGATGCCCACGTGCGTAAGAAAATCATCATCTTCGTTCATAATAAGCTTCAAACATCGATAACGAGTATTAAATAGTGACGAGTTGTCTCCAAAGTGTTGGCTTAAAGTCTGAACAGTCTCAGAAAACGAACAATCTCGTGGGTTCAAATTCATTTGTTTCCTTAACAGCTCCAACATACGTTCCTGCAACTGTTCATATCGTTTACCTTGACGTTCCAGTAAAGATTCTAACTGTTCAAGGTTAATTGACATTGTGAATTGTGAGCCCCGTCGCCACTGATATGTTTTGTGGATATGGTTTTTACCCCGTCGCCACTGATATGTTCGTCACTTAGGATGCTTGATGCTATTACGAGTTTACCTTAGTCGATAAACGCGAACGATACTTTTACCAGCTTCCAGGAAGGCTACCTTGAATCCAACGGTAAAACAGAAGTCTTGGTAAGAGTAGAAAGTATATTCTACAAGCACCCAGCAATCCAGTACAATCAAGCATACAACTCTCGTTTATTTATACAACATAACAACGTCCTTGAGACAGTTAAGAAAATAGCATACTAAAATACACTGTAGCCAATCACAGCCATTGATTTTCCTGGTGGGGATTGAAATCTCAAGGTCATTTGATCAGCCCCTGCTGGCGAGACGTGAAAACCAAAATACGGCATTATCAAGCGAATTTTTGGGGATCTAACATCCCCAAACATAATGTGGTATGGCAACATGAACTTATGTACATACGTACGAAGTTCTACGCTGCAACTGACTGACTGAAGCCCGCATAAAGGAGGGTCGTGCATGGAGTTAGCGACTCCATCCCGTGGAAAGCAAACTTGTTAAAAAACGCTAGCCATAACAAATAGTTCATACAATTTAAACTCTGACATAGGAGTTAGAAGGTCTTCACGCCTCATGATGGAAGCCGAGTTTCTTCGGAAGTCCCAAGGCTGACACGCCTCCTCGCAATCACAGCAACAATTAATATTGGTACGTGGAATGTTTGCACAATGTGGGTGACTGGCAGAACCATTTAATAAGTTACTGCATAAATGAAAAGATACCCTAGTGGTGTTTGGAATAAGCGAAACACATGGAACTCAGGCTGGACAAAAAAGACTAGAATCAAAAGAGATGCTGTCGTACTCCGGTCATGAAGAGGAAAATACCTCTCATGCACAATCAGTTGCACTGATGCTGTCCAAAGCAGCTCACAAAACTCTTATAGGATAGGAATCTCATGAATACACGAGGACCCGTTGGCCAGACACCATCAGCAACAACCTATTGTGGGAGAGAACGAACTGGATTCCAGCAGATGAACAAATCAGGAAAATACGTTCCAGGTGTGTAGGACATATACTACGGAAACCATCTAACTGCATGATGTCGTAAGCCGTAACTTAGAATCCCCAAAGCCTAAGGAGACGAGGTGGACCAAAGAAAAAACGCTTAACGTCGAGAATCGGAGACGATCATAAAAAGAATTAACACAGCAATTGGAAAGAACTGGAAAGGAAGTTTCAGAACAGAGTGGGTTGGAAAATATTGGTCGGCGGCCTAGTCTCCATAAGGCGTAACAGGCATAAGTTAGTACATATATATGGTGATATATATCAGACAATCAGCAGTGGACAAATGATAAGGCCACCAGAAAATGTTTAAATGTCATCATTTTCTAAAGAGGTGGAATATACATATTTGTAGATATTATTTCGTAGCCAAGTAGACTTCTCTTATGCTGTTGCCTTCACATTCAAGAAGCCAGTTTTGAGAACTATAGTGTATCGCGATCCATTATCGGACACTGCACATTATAACACAGTGTTGCCACACTGAATAAGTGGCTACTTAAAAGTACGTGTGGATGAAATAGTTTTCTGATATGTATTGTTTTCGAAGTTTAACATCAGGTAATGATTGGAAACCAGGAAGCATTGGGCAGTTTTTTTTTATCCCAATATGATCATCCTCACTAGTGTTCATCCACAACTCCTCCAATAACATTCAAGTTTCTTAGTGAGCTTTTAGACTTGAGATCGTTAAGTTGGCACTTAATCGTATTTATTTCTAATACGGGGCGACTATCATCCATTACAATTAATGATATTCGTCTCACACTTAATATGACTAAACTTCACCATTCACGACTGCCTTTCAGAACTTCTGAAATTACCTCTTGAATTTCAAGATTCACATCTCAGACTGACTTTGGCAAGGAGACCGAAAATCTCAGATTCTATCTCGGGTGGTTAGTCAGTCAGTCAGTTACAATGTAGAATTTCGTACGAACGTTAATCAGTTCAGGTTGCTATACTACGTTAGCACAAAGATGTAATTGCCAATTCAAATCCCATAGTAGTAGAGGTAGTAGAAGTATTAGCAGTAATCGGATAGATCAGGGTTCAAAGATATTATTCAAGAAGTATAGTTCAGTGGGATAAACTTAAAAAAAGAGAGAGGTGATAAAGAATCCAGAGGATAAGGATTTGAGAGAACACAAAGAATGAATGCACCTGCGCCATTGCAAACGGTTTTGAGCCATGTCATTTAGGGTCTCTAACCATCGATTACTGTCATCTCGCCGACCCCAACCACCAGGTAGTCGACACTTATCAACATGACTCAGTCCAGTTGTCAGTGACTTCATGGATATGATATGTTCTGGTGTGGCCGCCGCTAGCTTTCTGGTGGTAGTAAAACTTCAAATACAATAATCTTTGCGAATTTCTAAAATAATCAAACATTCAATTAACGTAAATCATCACCTTCTCTTAGTTAAACTCAGATTCATATACTATTTAACCATATGCTAATACTGTGGTGTGTGCTACTTATACGAACGATATAAGTAGTATAAGAAGGGACGTGAAAGAAGAAGTCGCACAGTTAGAGGAGGAAAACGGAAAGCAAATGGAGCAAAAGCAAGAAGTAAATGAAGTACCAACAGGAAGGAAAGAAAGCAACAACAGGAATGGAAGAAGGATGGAGCGTTGGAAGTCACGACTCAAAGATGGTATGCAAATAGAGTTTTCAATGTAACGTTTTCGTTTTTAATTGACCAAGAGTGTAAATTTGCATATTACAATCTTCCGCGCCCGCCTCAGTCTTCTCAATTAGGAGTCGTGAGTTCCAACGCTCCATCCTTCTTCCATTCCTGTTGTTGCTTTCTTTCCTTCCTGTTGGTACTCCATTTACTTTTTGCTTTCCGTTTTCCTCTTCTGACCGTGAGAGTTCTTCTTTCACGTCCCTTCTTATACTACTTATATCGTTCGTATAAGTAGCACATACCACAATACCGCCTATTCAAATATTAACTGAAGGAAATATTAATTTTAATTTGAATCTAAAATGGCTAATTGTTGAATGATATTACTATAATGGTATAATAATAAAGTTTGCTTAGATTAATGACGGTATGGTAAAGAATATTTCTGTAGCTCAGGATAACAATTTCAATAGTGTTTATATTCAGTCAACTCAATGGTTTATTGTCGTATCTTTAATTTGTATTCACTAACTTGTTGAGGATGTTAGATCCCCGAAATTCGCTTGATAAACGCCTTATTTTGGTTTTTACGTTTGCGAGCATGGGCTGATCAGTTGACCTTGAGATTTCAATTCCCACCAGGAAAATTCATTCATGGCTGTGTGATTGGCTGCTGTGTATTTTAGTGTGCTATTTTCTTAACTGTCCCACTAGGACGTTTCTATGATGTTGTAAAAATAAACGAGAGTTGTATGCTTGATTGTATTGTGTGATTGCTGTGTGTTTGTAGAATATACTTTCTACGCTTACAAAGCCCTTTTTACTTCAGCCTGGGGATTTAAGGTAGCCTACCCGGACGCTGGGAAAAAGCGAAATTCTCCGCTGCAACACAACATGCACCAACCAAATCACGCTTGATGGAGATGCTTTCGAGGACGTTAACAACTTTACATATCTGGGCAGCATCATCGACGACAAAGGTGGATCCGATGCAGATGTGAGGGCGCGGATTGGCAAAGCAAGGACTGCATTTCTACAGTTGAAAAATATCTGCAACTCCAAACAACTTTCAACCAAAATCAAAATCAACATTTTCAATATAAATGTCAAGACAGTTCTACTGTATGGAACGGAAATATGGAGAACTACTAAAGCCATCATCCAGAAGATACAAGTGTTTATTAACAGTTCTCTACGCAAAATACTTCGTATTCGTTGGCCAGACACCATCAGCAACAACGAACTGTGGGAGAGAACAAACCAGATTCCAGTGGAAGAGGAAATCAGGAAGAAGTGGTGGAAGTGGATAGGACACACATTGCGGAAAGCACCTAACTGCGTCACGATACAAGCCCTCACATGGAGCCCTCAAGGCAAAAGGAAAAGAGGAATGCCAAGGAACACATTACGCCGAGAAATAGAGAAATATATGAGAGGAATGAACAAACATTGGACAGAACTGGAGAAGGAAGCCCAGGACAGAGTTGGTTGTAGAAAACTAGTGGGAGGCCTATGCTCGATTGTGGGTAACAGGCGTAAGTAAGTAAGTAAGTACCTGGACGCTGGTTCATGGTCTCGTTCGCGTTTATCGACTAAGGTGAACTCGTAATAGTAGCCTCAAGTATACTAAGTGACGAACCCAACATAACTGTAAAAACTTGTTTCACCATGACGTTTTCATGCATTCGAACAACCGAGATGTATGTTTATACATAAGTTTAGTTATGAAATAATGTAATGTATAGAATTTTACAATCCAGATGAATGGTCAATATCAGCGTCAAATTCAAAAAAAAATATCAAAACTTAATTAATAATCTACACATTTAATCAAATCCGTGAATAGTAATAATAATAATAATAATAATAATAGTAATGATAATAATCATACTTTCTCGAAACAATGAAGATTATTAATTTTTTTCAAAAACTGAAACTTTCAGTATTGAAACGGATAAACACATAAATAATAAAAAAAATTCTGATAAGATCAATAGAAAAAAAAATTCGATGAACTGATTTTTTACCAAATAAATTTGAATCATAAATTTATCTACGAGATTATTTCAGTGAATAATACCTGACTAGGAAACTATTCGGATGTGAAAAATAATCGTATGGAAGTATGAAGCTGATTTCAATCACAAAATGTATATTTTCAGCGACGTAAATCATCATTCATTCAGTCAGTCAGTCAGTCAACAACGATGTAGAATTTCGTACGTACATACGTACATCAGTTCAAGTTGCTATACCACCACATTAGCTCAGAGAGATGTAATTGTCAATTCAAATCCCATAGTAGTAGAGGTAGTAGAAGTATTAGCAGTAATCGGAGAGATTAGGGTTCGACGAGATTATTCAAGAAGTAGAATCCACTGAAATAAACTTACAAAGAAAGAGATAAAGGTGATGAGGAATTCAGAAGGTTAAGATTTCAGAGAAGACAAAGAATGAATGCACCTGCGCCGTTGCTAACGGTTTTGAGCCATGTCATTCAGAGTCTCTAACCATCGATTACTAACATCTCGCGTGCCCCAGTCAGGTAGTCTACATCTATGAACATGACTCAGTCCACTCATCAGTGACTTCATGCATTTACGCCATGTTTTGGTTTGGCACGCCATTGGTTAGGATTGTCTCGCGAACCTCAACCACGTTGTCGACACCCAGCAACTTGACTCAGTCCAGTTGTCACTGACTTCTTTGTTTTGGTCTGGCTGCCCCTAGCTTTCGTCAAACTTATTTATTTCTACGTCGCAAAACATAGCTCATCGAGGCAGTCGGTTGTTAGGGATGCATACACAATCAAGAATAAAAAAAGCCGTACGTATCTACATCAGTTCAACGCAACACATGTCCCAATCATCTCAACTGATGCAGTTTCAATAATACTTCATCTATTGACCTGCCATCCTTACCTAGTACCCGTTTCCTAATGGTAGCATTGCTTACTCGGGTGTCCGATGATACTCGACGAATGCTTCGGAGACACCTATGATCGAAATCCAGTAACCTACGAATATCTTCTACTCTGTTTGGCCACGTTTTGCAGCCATATAAAGTAGGACGGATCGAACTGATGCGAAAATAGAACAGAGAAAAATGTGATTCAGAATAAATTTTATGTGAGCTGTTTGTAACACCAACTTTGAAGTGGAATCTAAACTTGAGCTAGTTTGATCTGTATACCTGATTAACAGGAAAGGAGGTGATTATTTTACAAAACAGATGGAATTTATATTCATATTTGAACAATAGTAATGATGATTAATCAATCATATTATCACCAGTTGACAAGGTTCGATTGGAGGAAAGTGTTGTAACGCTGCTACCTATAGCTCTTCAGTCCTAACGGCTTCCATTTCAAATATCCCAATACGACCCAAAATGCTATTTCCAAATCTCCTAGATATCAGAACGCAACACCGTGGAAGGAAGTCGTTTATTGGGTCGAATACACAAGAAGAGGTGGGCAAGGGAAACGGAATTACTAAGTCTTTCAGATAGTGCGTATTTATACACTAAGGTCGAATAAGGAAGAGCATCAACGTCTGTGACATTGACAGTTTAGGCCGACCAATAGAAATGAACATTTGAATGACATTGACAGTCCAGATGACCAATAAAAAGCAACATTGAAGTATTTGACCTTGACGGTTAGAACGATCATAATTTCGGCCAATAGGATTGTACTTCTAGAAATAGTGTTCTTAGGATATTTGGCGAACATCCTAACAGAAAGAAATAGAAAATCTTTGCCCTAATGGTGAGATAGATGTGAATATTTAATTGAGATTATCACGGCATAAAAATAATTCCCAGGGTGAAGACGCCTAAATGTAAAAAAACATATTTATTCTGTTTACAGATTAAATAGTTTCACATCTTTTGAATGATCAAGATTCAGCCTACAACTAATATAATTTGTCGTATAATAACATTACTTACTTACTTACGCCTGTCACCCCTATTCGAGCATAGGCCGCCCACCAGTTTTCTACAACCAACTCTGTCCTGGGCTTCCCTCTCCAGTTCTGTCCAATGTTTGTTCATTCCTCTCATATCTCTCTCTATTTCTCGGCGTGATTCGTTCTTTGGCCTTCCTCTTTTCCTTTTGCTTGAGGGTTCCATATGAGGGCTTGTCTCGTGACGCAATTAGGTGCTTTTCGTAGTGTGTGTCCTATCCACTTCCACCACTTCTTCTTGATTTCCTCCTCGACTGGAATCTGGTTCCTTCTTCCCCACAGTTCGTTGTTGCTGATGGTGTCTGGCCAACGAATACGAAGTATTTTGTGAAGACAACTGTTCATAAACACTTGTATCTTCTGGATGATGGCTTTGATAGTTCTCCGTGTTTCCACTCCATACAGTAGAACTGTCTTGACATTTGTATTGAAAATGCTGATTTTGGTTTTGGTTGAAAGTTGTTTGGAGTTGCAGATATTTTTCAACTGTAGAAATGCAGTCCTTGCTTTGCCAATCCGCGCCCTCACATCTGCATCGGATCCACCTTTGTCGTCGATGATGCTGCCCAGATATGTAAAGGTGTTAACGTCCTCCAAGGCATCTGCATCAAGAGTGATTTGGTTGGTGCATGTTGTGTTGCATCGGAGAATTTTCCTTTTACCTTACAGTATGTTGAGACCTACTGCTGCATAGGCTGTTGCTACACTGGTCGTCTTCTCTTGTATTTGTTGTTGCGTGTGCGATAGAAGAGCCAAGTCATCTGCGAAGTCCAAATCGTCCAGCTGCGTCCTAACTGTCCAGTTGATACCGTGCCTCCTTCCAGATGTTTACGTTTTCATAATGAGTTTGAGTAAGGCGAAAAAGTTTATCTATCATATAGAAACAGAACAACTGTAATTATTTTTATATTTATCTGAATAAAAATCATAAAACAACAACTTGATTACGATCAAAATGATAAAAGATTTTATCTCCATATATATAATGATAAAATCTATTAGTATAGACCATTGTCACTTTTACTAGTCTTTTGAAGAAGCAGTAACTTTCAGGATTAATTTGTAGATGATTATAATTTGCTTTTTATCATAGATTTATTAAGTAACTAGAATGTTTTATATCCGCATTCCTTTTATTACGAATGTAGTTGAAGCTGTCTACTGTCTTCTGAACTCAAAGGCAAGGTACACAGAGGCTACAGAATCATGAGCCAATAAGAGTTTAGCTGCCATCTCACGGTTAATAGTGCAATGTGGATGTGTTATCAGTCAGAAGGCTCGATTGGCTTTTGTCAACCTGCGTCACTTATGGCGTAGGCGAGATATCCGTTTTCTGACTAAAGGACTAGTGTACTGTACAGCAGTTCGCTCCGTTCTCCTATATGGCTGTGAAACATGGCCAGTGTGAGTAGAAGATATTCGTTGGTTACTGGTTTTCGATTATAGGTGTCTTCGAAGCATTGCTCGTGGGACACCCGAGCAATCAATGCTGATGTTAGGAAACGGGTAATAGATAAGGATGGCAAATCAATAAATGAAGTGGTGAAACTTCAGTTGAGGTGGTTGGGACATGTGCTGCGTATGCCGAACCACCGACTGCCTCGTCGAGCTTTGTTTTGTAGTGTAGGAATATGTTGGAAGAAAGTTAGGGGCGGCCAGACCAAAACATGACACAAATCCATGAAGTCATTGACGAGTGGACTGGGTCATGTCGGTAATTGTCGACTACCTGGTTGGGGTCCACGAGATGATAATATTCGATGGCTAGAGACCTTGAATGACATGGCTCAAAATCGTTCGCAATGGCGCCGGTGCATTTATTCTCTGTGTTCTCTCAAATCTTAATCTTCTGAATTCTTCAACCCCTCTAGTTTTGACTTTCTAAACTTTTCTCACTGAATCATATTTCTTGAATAATATTTTCTAATCCTAACCTCTCCGATTACTTCTAATACCCTTACTACCTCTTCTACTATTGGATTTGAATTGACAACTACATCTCTGTGCTGATGTGGTATGGCAACATGAACTGATGTACTTACGTACGAAGTTCTACGTTACATCTGACTGACTGTTATTAGTCAAACCTACTGAGCACATTAGTTCATTTAAGATTGCATGTACACTTAGCTATCAATTAACGACTAATAGGAATTTTAATCTGTCGTTCATCTTACCCACCTTGTAATAATAATACAAATATAATGTATAGCTTAATAAAACAAACTACAAAAAGGTATATAGGTAAATTTACGAGTTACTTTTGTTATTGTTGCCTTTTAGGAATATTTTTTCAGACTATAGATATCTTTGTAACTTTGCTCTGATTATTTTACTGCTTTTTTCATACTACTTAAATACCCTCTAAGTAGAGTTTATAATAAGTAAAATATTTCTCCAGAAAAAGGAATATTTTCTTCCGAATTCTAATAAATCTCTTCATGATGTCTGAGAAATTTTGAAATGGGAACTCGTTACCGAAAATGCCATTAAAAGTTCAGTTTTTTTTGGCTAATTTAGGGTTTAAACTAGTTTTATTGCTATTATTTACACACTTTATAACCTTATATTATATATCATTGTGTATGCACCTAATCAATCTCTTTCTATTTCATGTTTCTTTACTTATCATTTCACAAATAAATTGATGTGCTCTCCTACACAAAATTAGCCAAAGAAAAACAATAATAGTAGTAATGATCATGATGATCCCCAAGAAGAACAACAATCAGCCAACAGCACAGAAAGTATCAATTTATTGGATTATGGATTTGAAATCCCATTAACTGGACAACGTTGTCTATGGATAGCAACATTGAAACCAAACAATTCAAAAGACTATTACAATTTTACACAATACACTATTGGATTAAATGAATTGGCAATGCGTAAACCATCGACAATAAATGATGATAATCACAATTATAATAAGAAGAATAAGAATATAACTGATAATCGGACAAGTTCCAGTGTGATGACGACTATGTCAAATTGTACAAACAAGTATAGTGAAGTAATTCCATGTTATAAAAACTCAATCTATGGACAATATCTTCCACCAACAGATTCTAGATATCGTCCAGATGTACGGTTATTTGAACTGGGTCATATTGGTGAGTAGTATTATGATCATTGATGCCCCCCACTAACTAGTATTAATTTGGTGTGCGTTGTGTGAGTACGGTGGGTTGCTATGTGATTGTGTTGTCTGACAGTGAAACTCATCATTGAAATTGAATATCGGTATCTATGGTCTCTCTCATTAGATACATGAAGAAGCCTAATAAATTTATCAGCACTATTTTAAGTTGTCCTGTGATTCAGGTTCGGTTAGAAGGCACCAAGACAATAAAAGGTGAAACAAACACCAGCTAAAATAACCTGACTTCTGAGATCTCTTGGAATTCGGTGTTGAAAATTGTGAAATGAATATATATATTTCTTTTCATGGTATAAACATGTAAGTACCCTTTACTTATGTTGAGCATATTGTTTTCCACCCCGTGATTTTCACTATTTGTCTCTGGTTAATGTCACTACTGAATAATGTTACAACTATGCTCATATTGAACAATCTCCGCAGTGTCTACCGAAGACTGTTTGTGAGGTTGCGCAACTCCGTGAATTTGATCAAGTTAGACATTAACACCGTTAGATAACGGCTCAGTGGTCTAACGGTTAGGGCGTTCGTGCACAATACCGAAGGTCCTGGGTTCGAATCCTGCGAGGTGCAGGAGTCGTGGATGCGCACTGCTGAGGAGTCCCATACTAGGACGAAAAGGCCACTGTCCAGTGCTTCTAGGTTTCTAATGGTGGTCTAACATTGATCGATTCATGGTTTCAAAAAATGTGTAACTTAACAATCTTCACAACCCCCGTAATGCTACCTTCTTATGTCAGTCTGAAAGTAAACTGTTATGTTTTTCAATTTAATCTGTAATGCTTTTAAATATTATCCCGTTGTTAATGTTATTGAATAAATTATGAACTGTTTTAGTTGGCGTATATGCATACTATGTGGTGTGGACTGCCACGAATTAGCCATTATGTCACAAGTTCTTTATAAAAAATAGACAGAATGAAACTGGCAGTAGAATCCAGTGTGCTCGTTTCATCCTATCTGGGCTCGTCAGCCGGATTCACCTACTTCCTGCATTTTAGCGAGTGCCTATCCCCGGACTCAGTGACTAAGCGTTTGAGACGAAATTTATCGAGTCCGAATTTCCGAGAGAACATCAACCCGATTATTATCCAGATACATCCATCTGACCTGTCCTCGTTAGACTAAGGCTCTTCCTGGTTTCCATTGCTAGCTAAGTTCTGTCTTTACTACGTCATGCTTCCAATTGTAATTTTCAAGCTAACGTTACAAAAGGCTTATTAGTTATTAGTTATCTACAGTTTGCAATATTAATATATCATCTGGTTTCACGTATTGTTTAGAAGTAGTCAATAGCGAAGATCCAGATTTCGTGCAGTTTGGCACTCTTCAGAAAGGCGTGCCTATATTCTTCGGGAAACTGATTCCCCTGGAGGATTCGACCCCGTGTCATTTAGCTTCACAGCCAGAGACGTTACGTTTGAGCTATTCAGGCTGCGACTGACCTCTAATACGGACTAAGATTTATTTTTCCGATCGGTCGTTTACTGGACAGTGACCAATGTTATGTATGTCAAGCCGATTTTAGTGTTAATCTAACTCTAGGGATCAAGCTGCAGTGTGGTTACTAATCTAGGTGACTCAACTTTACGTGCACTATGTTAAAATGTTAAGTGATTGTTAGAGGCATTAAATGTCCCAACTTAATTGATGGAATTCGATCAGCACTAAGGACTGAATAGACACATATGGTCACTACTCAGTGATCAGTTAATCATAGATACATTTAGAACTGACTGAACATATTATTAATCCAAATGTTAATGTCCATATATGTGCTTCAAAGAAGTACTTTTTGAATCACATGTTCAAATCACCTGGTGAGATTCATCGAAATCTAGGAAGCACTATATAACTCCTTTTTTTAACCATGTGGGAATGTTTTAGCAATAGAAATATTCTAAGTCATCTAGCAAATCTCCTGGTAAAAGTTCAACTTCTGAAAGGTCAGGTGATGCATTGATTACTTCAAGTGGTGTTCGTCAGGATGGTCCACCTCCGTCCCCAGTTAACTACGTCATCGACATGCTTTTAGAGATGACACTTTCATCGTCAGACTTTTCATAGGTTGACCTTGTACCAGGAGGTTCACTGATTAAATTAGAATATGGAGATGACATATATCTTCTCAGTGAAGACGCTAACAAAATGCAAAGTCTTCTGACGATCCTATGCAACAATGCAAGCATGTTCAGTATGCGATTCGCCCCCCTCAAAATAAAATATGTTGTTTGATGACTGACTTGCGTTGGAACTTGAACTAATGGTAGGAAATGAACTAGTAGTTCAGCGTGTTGACTTGCTTCATTTATCTTGGGGAATCTCTTAAATGCTGATAGCCTTAGAATATAATCCAGAAAGCAAGAATAGTAAAGAAAATCCTTTTAGTTCATTTCTGATGGTCATTTAATGATCTTCTCGTTTGACCACTTTGTTTCGGCTTGTGGTGCGCGCTACTTATAAGTAGTATATGACGCGAGTGTAAACGTAATGTCTGGCAGCAGAAGATGGGGGAAGATCAAGAAAGGAAGAGTTAGAACACAATGGAATTTGTATGAAACGCATGAACAGTAGTGAAATGTCAGACAATGGATTGATGATGGATTGAAGATTTGCAAATTAACCGTTTACGATATGGTTTTCCTATTTTACTGAGTAATTCTGTAATTTTCGTTAAATACAATTCGGTTGCCCTCACCTGTGTTCTCCTTCACTACAGGCTGACTGTATCACTTCTGGCAATAGCCATAGTATGAGAACAAACTTCAAGGATTCTTATTAGAATGACGATGTAATTTTCACTTGTCTTTTGTTTAAAATTTTTTTCCCTCTATCAGATGAAGCAGCTGCTGAGAAATTACGTTTAGAAGAGAAACAACGTCATCGGCGTAAATCATTAAATGGTCAACGAAAAATTCCACAATTCAATTGGTCCAAATCAGCTAATAATCATAATCATAATCATACTACAATGACAAATTCTACAATTAAACCATTTTTTACAAATAATTTATTTAAAAAAGCATTTTCATCGAATTCAACAACAACAACTACTAGTACTAGTCATTGTTTTACTGATAATGATAAAAATTTGCATAATTCTAACAATACTACTGTTAAATCAGATTTAAGTAGTAATAATAATAATCAAAATCAAATTATTGGTCCATTATGGTTTATTTTGTCAATAAATCCATTTACTAAACAAGAAGAATGGCAAATAACCGGTGATTATTGGAAAAGAGATTGGAGTCAATGTCCAGATTTATATTAAAATTGTTTGAAGAAATGTTGGCAATTATTACTCCAATAGATATTATGTATATAGATATATTATTTATATATTTGTTTCCTGTCATACATACATACATACATTAGTGTAAACACAATCTTAACTTTCGTTAAAATGCTTATTATTATAGATTTATTATGACTTTTAATAATTAAAATTGATCAACACTTTATGGCGATGCAATATTAATCATCAGTAATATTAATAACTGTTTAGCACAAAAAAGATAATTAGGTTTATCATTTCACATTTCTTCACAGCATAATTACGTAACATACTGTCTTTCTATCTGTTAATCACACACACAGCCTCACACACACACACACACTCCCTCTCTTGCTTGTGCATTGATAATTTTGAATAGTGATTCCCATCTTTGAATTCTTCTAATTGTTTGTTACAGGGTTTCATTATTAATCCACAAGCACTCCGTTGAACAAATCCACACACATACGTACATATAAATGGTGAATTTACTACTTATTTCATGTACTTGTTGAAGTGATACTTATCTTATTTCTGGCGCACTTCTTTCTAAATATATACGTTTCTCTCTTTTCATCTAGATATTAGATATTATTTTATATTTCATTTGATTTCAGAATAAACAGTATAAAAAAGGTATATAATTTATATTGATATTTAATGCATGTAAAACAACAACACAGACGTGCTTTTTTTTAATCATGTTAAACTGTTTATGTTTTGCTGCATTAATTCTATCGTCGTTATTTTTTGATAGTTTTTAAAGTTGAATATATTATATGATTGCTTTTTTTGCGCCTGCTCTGTATTTTTCAAATATCCTAAACATGTAACATGTCACAATTAATTTGATCTTTTGCATTGCATTGCCAACGGTATGATGTTTTTTATGCACAAAGAATGAAATTAACCAATCAAATGATGATAAATTAGAATGAAGTATTTTTTTTAGCCAATCAAATTACTGTTACATGTATAGTAAATAACCTTGTAAAATCAAACTAATCTGATTGGTAGCTACGTTATTTTGTTGTAAGAGTTAGCATAGGCACGAGATTAAAACGACAACTTCGAATTCTTAGTCAATCACGTGACGACCTTTTGTAAGTGGACCATGCATCGGCAAGAAAATATTGTTAGAGAAAAATGTTAACAGACCTTACTTAATTGATTGATCATTTGAAATTCTCTACTGGCTATATTGCTCTACGACATTTATACATAATAAATATATCTGTCCATGCAGATATAGATCATCTGTCTTCTGAAATTTTGTAGGTATGCAAATTGAATTTCAATAGTTTCATACATTACATCCAGTTGTGGTTAGGGATAAATTTTAAGGTCTTACAGTTTAGTATATATAGAGTTAGAATTTCGGGGCAGAGTTTTGGAGATTTGTGTTTTTACACATTTGAAATCATCAATCAATCATTGTTAGACCACCATTAGAAACCTGGAAGCACTGGACGGCTGATTCGTCCTGGTATGGGACTCATCAGCAGTGCGCATCCAAGACTCCTGCACCTCGCAGGATTCGAACCCAGGACCTTCGGTATTGTGCGCGAACGCCTAACCATCGGACCACTGGGCCGGCGTCCAAAGGTGTTAATATCTGGCGTTCAATTCTAACTTCAATACAGTACATTTGAGTGAGTTGCAGTTTGTTCTCAATGTTCAGTTCTAGTTCCGTTGTGACTTTTAGATTATGGACGACTGGTTAGCTCTGTGAATTATTATTTCGTAAATTCTGTTATTTACTGTTAAGAAGAAAACAAAGACTTACAAGTAGTCGAATCACTGTTATTACATGCCACCACTAGTACAGTGAATATTCCATTGGGGAAAGATGAAGATGTTTGTGTCAATATTCTTTTCCTAATTGGAGAGCATGTCCCACGTTTGCTCTAGTTAAATGGCCTTCGATTACTGGATGTTCGCATCTCTTCATATACGAATTTTCCTGATAATACCTCAATCAATGACCTGGCCTTACAATTCACGAAGTCTGTGGGAATTTATGAAAATCTAACCAGTATATCTAGATTTAAAAGAAGAGTCTATCTCCTAAAAGCGTAGGCTTATTTCGTATAGGTTGTGACGAATGAGTTAGACAAAATTAGTTGTAGTAGGACTAACAATCCCGATTGAGTCGTCCAGTTGGGCTACTCGTGAGAAGACTGAGGCAGGCGAGGAAGATTGTATTATGCAAATTTACACTCTGAGTTAGTTAAAAACGAAAACATTACATTGAACACTCTATTTGCACACCATCTTTGAGTCGTGACTTCCAACACTCCATCCTTCTTCCATTCCTGTTGTTGTTGCTTCCTTTCCTTCCTGTTGGTACTCCAGTTACTTCTTGCTTTTGCTCCATTTGCTTTCCGTTTTCCTCTTCTGACCGTGGTGAGACTTCTTCCTTCACCCCCCTTCTTATACTACTTATATCGTTCGAATAAGTAGCTCACATCACACTCCCAATGTGACTTTATGGTTTCGGCGTTGCCTAACAAAATACTTATATAACTAGAACCTCTACAAAATACAAACAAAAACCCGAATTCGAAGTACGTAGTATGAAATTGTATTATTGTATCAAGATTTAAACACTACATAAATCATTTGACTGTACAATAAATGTGTTTATTATTCAACCGAGTAATTTACGATTATTATAATGTGAATGTCTAAATAAATGGTTGATGCATTAATCTTTTTTTTCTGTAGTCTTATTTTCTTCCTTGTATGAACGAAACAGTCTAATCCATTTGTCAACTACCTGGTTGGGGTCCGCGAGATGATAATAATCGATGGTTAGAGACCTTGAATGATATGGCTCAAAATCGTTCGTAATGGCGCCAGTGCATTTATTCTGTGTGTTCTCTCAAATCCTAATCTTCTGGATTCTTCAACACCACTAGTTTGACTTTCAAAACTTTTCTCTCATTGAATCATACTTCTTGAATAATATCTTCTAATCCTAACCTCTCGGATTACTTCTAATACGCTTACTAACTCTTCTACTATTGGATTTGAATTGACAATTATATCTCTGTGTGCTGATGTGGTATGGCGACAAGAAATGATGTACTTACGTACGAAGTTCTACGTTACATCTGACTGACTGAATCCAGTTATAGCAAACGATATGCCACCACAAAAATTATTCAATACTGAATTAGATTTATAGCACTGATATATCAGTTATGCTCCACCAAGTCATTAGGCATACTATCAATGCCATGAGATATCCTAGTGATTCAATAGTTTGGTAAGTATATATAATTCATTAATAACTAATGAATTAGCCTCGATTATATTTAGACACCTTACTAGTGCTCGTGAAGAGCAGGCTAGAGAAAACCAAGCTGGTTTTCGACCTGGACGCGACTGTATAGACCGCATTTTCACACTACGACAGGTCCTGGAACACAGACACACATTTAGGCGTCATACAATAGTTGTTTTCCTGGACCTTAAGGTGGCATTTGACTCAGTAGATCGTGAGGTTCTGTGGCAGTGTCTGTCATTGAAAGGTGTACCGAAGAAGTACATTAACACTATACAAGCTCTCTACTCGAACACTACTGGTCGAGTCAGAGCGTATGGCGAACTGTCACCGGAATTCTACACTTCAAGTGGTGTCCGTCAGGGCTTTCCACTTTCTCCATTCTTGTTTAATTTTATCATAGACATTCTCCTAGAAATAACTTTATCCTCGTCTGAATTCTCAGGATTCGATTTTCTATTAGGAAAATTGCTTACTGACCTAGAATACGCCGATGACATAGTTCTATTCCGTGAAGACGCTAACAAAGTGCAGAGTCTTCTGACTACCCTAAGCAACAATGCAAGCATGTTCGGGATGCGGTTTTCCCCCTCGACATGCAAAATGTTGCTTCAAGATTGGCTTATATGGGCACCTGAACTAGTGATAGGGAGTGAAGTGGTCGAACGTGTAGACCGCTTCACTTATCTCGGGAGTCTCATCAGTGCTGATGGCCTGGTGACTGACGAAATCTCAGCATGGATACAGAAGTCTCGATTGGCTTTTGCCAACCTGCGTCACCTATGGCGCAGGCGAGATATCCGTTTGCTGATTAAAGGACGAGTGTAATGTGTGGCAGTTCGCTCCGTCCTACTGTACGGGTGCAAGATTTGGCTCTTAAGGGCAGAGGACTTTCGTAGGTTACTGGTCTTCGATCATCGATGTCTCCGAAGCATTGCTCGTGTATCATGGGACAACCGTATAAGCAATGCCTTCGTTAGGAAACGAGTTCTAGCTGGGGATGGCAAATCGATAGATGAAGGAGTAAAACTTCATCAGTTGAGGTGGTTGGAACATGTGTTACGTATGGCTAACCACCGACTGCAGCGACCAGCTATGTTGTGCAGTGTAGGAGTAGATTGGAAGAAAGCTAGGGGCGGCCAAACCAAAACATTGCAGAAATCCATGAAGTCACTGACAAGTGGACTGAGTCATGTTGTTAGGTGTAGACTACCTGGTTGGGGTCCGCGAGACGATAGTCACCGATGGTTAGAGACCTTGAATGACATGGCTCAAAATCGTTTGCAATGGCGCAGGTGCATCCACTCGTTGTGTTGTATGAAGTTCTAATCTTCTGCATTACTCATTACCCCTTCCTTTCTCCTTCTAAATTTATCTCACTGAATTATACTCCTCGAATCATATCTTCGCTCCCTAATCTTCTTCATTACTGCTAATACTTCTATTATTGCTATCACTGTTGGATTTGAACTGACAGTTGCGTCTCTGTGTTTATGGGGCATGGCAACCTGAACTGACGTACTTATGTACAAAGTTCTGCGTTGTATTTGTCTGTCTGTCATTAATAACTAAAGATAATAGTGTTTAACATTCAACAGCAAGGTATAATTATCAATAATTAGATGGTTTGTAAGTAATAAGATAGTTCGGTATCTATTATAGGCTAACTTGCAAATTATTTTATTCACTGGTCTTTTCATCCCCAGAA